CGTTAATTATATTATAAAGTATTCAATTGATTTTGTGGTTAGTCATTTTTGTAGGGATTCATCACACTAAATCAGAAGAATGGAAATTTTAGGCAACAGAATATGATGATCAAACGAATCAACGAATAAGTCATTGAATCAATACAGAATATTATCCTCTACACATCATCATTCTATGCAGTAAAAGAGAGTTGTACATAATTAAAGCTCGTCAATATTAATCAACATATTGATGAATTTATAAATTAATGAAATATTAATAACCAATTTTAATTACTCTGTTTCTCGGAAGCTCTTATTACGTAAAATGATATATAACCGAAAACAATAAGTGCGTTTTAACAATATTCTATATTATTCATTCGATATTTGCATATATAATATTTAAGAAAAATACATACTAAATTATGAAAAGGGAATATCAAAATTTTTAAAATTATAAATAATTTTACAGCAACTTAGAAGAAATATTTCATCTTTAAATGTTCCTCTCGAAATGTCTTTTCACTAACAATACGATCATCCTTGCATCCAGATGATTGATAATAATAAAATAAATAAATAATAATAAATGAATTTTTCCAAAATCTTGCGGCTACATCTAAATAGATAGAAAGACGACGTCCAATTGGCCTTTCCTTCTACGTAATCGATACGAATGGGGAATGGTTGTAACAAGAAAGAATGCTTCTCGTGATCCTGTTCTCTCGCGAGAAAGAGGCCTCACCTCTTCGACGTGAACGATCGTACATCCGTGCGATTAATTAAACAGAACTAATTGGAAGTTGTACTTTACTTACGCGAACAGCCTGAAAGATCTATCATTCAACTGCTGAACAAAGTTCTCGAGCATTTCGAGCTTGCGAGCGTGATCTTAAGTAACGGCTCTTTCTCGAAACCTGAAAGCTCAAAACCATCAACGAGCCTTCAAACTTTAAAGCTAGCTTCCGCGCTTCCCACGATACCCCGTTACACAACAAGATCATCATTCTTTTCGGCTTTGCCTACTATATGATAGGCTGCATCGTCTAGTCAGAAATTTTCGAGGAATAATGTAAAATAAAGTGTAAACGTAGCTGTAAACCTTCATTCAATCAACTTTGCTCGGTTATTTTGAGATTATGTGACACGGTATAAAATAATATAATACAACGCAAATACAGAATATTTATATTACGTAGTAACGTTACATGAAATAACGTGCCATTTTCTACTGGCTAATTAAAAAAGTGGTTTCATTATTTTAATTACTCACTCCCAAAAATATGAATTTTAAAAGTCTGCAGTATAATTATAAGCTATAATGCAGCTTGTGTGAGTTAGGTGATATTTAGTATAGTAGAAATTAAATTCAGAGTAGAGTGAGTAAAATGAAAATTTTGAGAGTATGAGACTGTTCGCCAGTATTTTATTGTTTGCTGTACATTACCGTAATTAAATCAAGATATTTTTTGTTGCTTGCTGTATCAAAACATGTATTCCACTTAATGAGAAAGCAAATTTTGAATAAACTATTATTCAAACTATTTGGTAGTACAACAAGCAACATGTAGAAAATTCCATTATTCTAAAAAATAGTCACACTTCACTATCTATGAGGTTTAATTATAAAATTGTTATAAAAAAATATGTATATGAACTATCTCTACATACACATTAGAAACAACAATAGTAAAAATATACGAATTAAAAAGATTCTTTCTTCCCGTGTTCTATTCCCTTCTTCTTTCTCGTGAATCTATTCCTGGTATACGTACATACATGTATGTATATCGATCTACATATCCTCCGGCCATATTTTCAATTCCAAAATGAACTGTGCCGTAAATCTCTCTCGCTCATAACCATTCATAACCATTTCGAAAACTCATGCATCAGCCCATCTAACGAATCTCAAGTCTCACCGTATCCATAATTTCACGGTTATACCACGCAAATTATCCTCTAAAAACCAGCGACGAGTAAAAAGCGAAAAGAAGAAATGGAGGAAGATAAACCCGAGGCCTCGGTGTCTCCCAATTAAGCCGAGTATCAGCTTAACAATTTCGATCGCCAGCTTAACTCTTGTCTTCTTTATACCATTTGACGTCAATCTATCAAACTTCCTCGCAATTGACGAATAATACTCAAACACGAAAGATCTACACAATTCTCTCTCTATTTCCCTGCACGAGTAAAGTCATTGATCAAAGCATAATATGTACTTACGATTCCAAGTCAAAGTTCGATATCTAAGTTTCGTTTCACGAATGTTTCGAAAATAAAAATGTTTCGAACCCTCGTGAGAGATTTGAAACTTTCGTGAGTAGCATCTCGAATCTTGGAAATCGGGATTCTACAGAGATATGATTCCTCTGTCTTTTGTTGGAGGTAAAAGTGATGATAAGCTCGTATTATTTAATAGTTCAATTAAAAGAGATTTTTTTTATTGTATTGCGTACACGTTCATTAGAATAATTTTCATATTTAAAGAAACGTGCTTCATCAAGTCAACAAACTCTGTCACACTAAAGATCGTCCATTTGTAAGATGAATCACTTTATTAATTGTCTTGAGACAATTAATACAACAGATCACAAAAATTTTTAATATTTCATTGTAAAATACCAAAAAAAAATGGAAATCACACACCATTCGAAGCTAATTCCTTTGGCTTAGAACCGAATTTGTTTGTTGTCAGAAGCAGCCTTGGAAATATTTATAAAGGATTCGAAATTCATCGATTAAGATTAAAGGTTTAAATCTACTTGCGAGGTACTCGCCATTCCATTGCTAAGCGCAAACAAAAAAGCCTTCACACGCGAACGTAACCAACCAACGTCTACAAACACAAGCGAAAAGAAAGGGTAAAGACAGAGAGAAAGAGAGAGAGAGAGAGAGAGAGAGGATAGAGAAGGATAGTTTAATAGGAGGTTGGGGCAGAAAGGAAGGTAGCTCCAGGGGTCGAATGCAAATATGTTCGTGCGTAATTGCAATCTACATGTTTATAAACCTCTTTTGCATGTGATGCGGCTCCTTTTTATCGTCTGCCTGGCCGTTTCAACTACCCGCTCGAGCCCTTGTTAGGCCAGGTCTCGCGCCAGACCCACTTGGACTCGTTATAATTAAGCCTAAATTTAGCCGATGCGGCGATAATTGAGCGTGTAATCGCGAACAACAGTCGCCGTGGCGAAGAGCGAGCGAAAGAAATCCCGCCGAACGTCTCATTTTTCTCGAATTCATCGTCGCTCGAATTCATCATGGAGATTTTTTGTTCACGTGGCACGATCCAGTCGTAGATGGATGATTCTGCCTTTGAGAAGGGTTGCAATGGCTATCTTGAATTGAACTGTGGTTGAACGCCGGGGAAGTATCGTGAATGGGATAGATTTGAAAAGATCGTGGTATTCGCAGTGAAAGAGACAAATTGAAGTGAGCGCGATACAGAAAAATGAAAGAGTAGAAATGAGAATAATTTAGGTTTAAGTTGATAATGATTAGCAGACGGAGATTAATGGAGAGTGTATTTATAAAGAATTTAAAAAGTAGAATGTGTTGGACACAGAAAATTCTGTCTAATGTTCGAAATAGAATGCTCGTTAATTGTTGAAATAAATTTCTGCACAAATTCTATTTTCCTAATTGTATTAATCTCGCGCAATTTTGTATTTTTATGAACACGTTTCTGTGAAGAGAATTTTCACGTATGCATTCATTGCATTTTTGTATCCTTTTATATCCTATAAATGCGCAGAAATCCGCAATTTAATAATAATATTATGTAGTGGAATTAAAATTTATCTTTCTTGTCATATTCATCTTGCATTTGTCAAATAAATTACATTAAAATTCCAATGCTTTGTTAAAATACCTGGCTAGATTTCCTAAAAAAGCAATTTCGTAACCTGAAAGGAACTTAAATTTTGGTTTTCCTTGTATTAAAGGTGATATACTTATCTAGATATTTTTCTTCTCGATGAAAATCATTTAGAAAATGCGTTTAAAAGACGGGTTCCAGAAAGAGAACTTTTTGTCAACAAAAATTTGTCAACACATTATTGATGAAAGAAATGCTTGCCATACCGTGAAATCTATTTGCTAACTATATCTGATTTTCGTGAAATTTCATACCAAAATAAAAGGGATACAAAAATTCAGTAGTACGACAAACGACATTTCTGACATTGAATTTCACTGGAATTCACGTTATATTCTTTCTAACGTTCTAACAAATGAACAAAAAGATGAATTGAAAATGTTGCACTTATTCAACAAACGTATTTTCATTTTACAAATTATAATCGGGAAAAAACGAATTGTGTTGTGTATATGTATGTGTGTCTCTTTCTCTTCTACTTGTCCCTTTTGAAGTGCAATGTAAACTTGCTGAAATGAATTAACTCGCTAATAAGTAGTGATTAACAAATGCAACGTACTATATCATGAACACACGTTCTACCCTCGTTTACAATTATGAATTTGCACACCAAAGATCTTCCTGTTTCATACGAGATATGTATCTCATTTAACTTTACGCTATGAAACCTTTCTATATCTGCATTCTAATCTTTCAACACAAGATATATTAATAAAATTACACGTCTCACTGAAAAAAGAACTACAATTTCTTCGTGTTCTAAAATATTTTTTTAGAAGAACTCGTTAAAACATTCGATTTTATTAGAGACTGTCAAAAAGCTAAACGTGGACATCTCGATAATTGACAAAGAGATTAAACATGTAACTCCTGATATACTTTAGCGAACATCACGACATTCCATTTAGTATAATTTTTCAAACGAAGCGATTCCTCTTTAGAAAACGGTATTAAATACCAAGTTTCGAGTAATCTCAGTAGATACAGTAAACTACAAATGCAAACACATCGCTGCTAGTGCAATGAAACCTTTGACATATGGTCGTTAACAAACACTAACTAACAAGTACACGTATTCTAAACAAACATGTCTCTATTTACAATAACAAATCTACACGACGACGTTGCAATCTATTTGTTCCAGGCAAAGGACGCAATGAACGAGATCCAGGGTATCGATCTGACAGATCCTGATCTACACAAGGCGGCAACGAAGATCCAGGCGAGCTTCCGAGGTCACAAGGTCCGCCAGGAAGTATTATCGAATCCGTCAAACGATGAGCCGAAGAATTAAGAGAGATGAGAATGGAGTGCTGATTTTTCGAGATCGAATCATCGACAGGATGCCCGATATGAAACCAAAAAGGAAACGAAAAAAAATAGAGACAAAAAAAAAAGACAAACAAACCACATAAACACGAGAGAGAAAAAAAAATAAATCGAACGATCAAGAAACAATATAAGCAGTAAATCGGGCTTCCTTCTTGCTTTTTCGTTTGTCGTCGAGTCCGCTTCGTCCGATCGTGTGCGAATCCTTTCGCTGATCCCTGGGAAATTTCATGGTACTTTTTATCTCCAAAACCGCGCGCAAACGCATTACTCCGAATCGTACGTTTACCGCTGTGATTTGTTTAAAACCGAGCTTACAAGTTTTGTCGTAAACCTTCGGACATAGATAACCCTCATCGAACAATTTTCCATCCGAGTTCGTACTTACGTATTTTTCGTCCTTTCGGAAATATAGTATTACAAAAANAAAAAAAAAAAAAAAAAAAGAGAAAAAAACATGGACAAAATTTCAAATTTGCATCTTAAAGATCTATATTATAAGATTTACGATTAAATACGCCCATCTATTTCGAACTGGTATGCTTATTATTTATTAATATATTTTGAAGTGTATACACGCTACCACGCGTCCGTGGAATCGTTTAATCACTATCCTAGTTACTCGTAAATTGTCATTTTGTCGAGCATAGCCCTGATATTTAAAATGAACGAACAAAACTGGATAATCGAACAGAGGTCGACAAAAAGCACCACGTTGCTTGTTACAACACTCGGCACGGCACGTAATAAGACGATGGAATTGAATCGCAGTGAAATACGAAATACGAAATACGACTGCTGGAAGAAGGCTGTTTCACTGGTTAGGGAAACGAACCGAAAAGAACTAGGCGAAACTAAAAAAAAAACAGGCTGGAGGATTAATTGGCCGAAGAGTCGAGCGTAGCAGCATGCTTTTCACAAATTCGGAAAAAGGACGCTGCTGAGTGAGCGCGTTTCCTCGAACAGATCCAATTATGCGAATCGATTTAATCGACCGCGTATCCGGCACGAGGATTTTCGTTTTCGCGGAACTCGTGCGTTCAAGATAAACACAAGGTAAACTTCTGATAAATTCGTCGGTCCGTTGTTAATGCGAAATTTATTGGCAGTCGACGAAGCTTGGAGAGGATTATTTGCGATCGCGAGCGCCGGTATATCGAGGCTGATTCAAAATTTTCGATAGCAGATTGCGCGGAACGCGCGCTATAATTCTGACCGTCTACGACGAGGAACATCGTCGTAGCTCGACAACTCGGCCATTCGTATTGAACATCCCTGTTTCATCGTACGCCACTGATTGTGAGATTCGTGAATGAAAACAGTGAAAAATTGCAAACGTCGAATAACTGAAATGTCAAACGGCCACACGCTCGTGAACTACGTGAAATCACGAGTCTGGTTACTATTGGAGTGTGGAATCGTGTCGTTGCTTGCAAGAGGGCCGAGCGAATCGATTCAAGGAGAAGATACGGAGCGAATGTCGCAGTTGCAATCTTTGATAATCAATCGAAGTCGATCGTCATTTTTGGAGTGTACACACTTGTGACATCGCCACCATCGGTAAATTTCATTTCGTACTAACAGCAAGTCGATTGAATTCGGTCTTATTGTGTAGTCTTAACGTAAGTCCAACCAGGTATAAAGAAGAATATACATACTTATGTATGTGTAAGTGACACCTACACGATTGCGAAAACAATAGACGATTATTGGTCGAAAAGCAAATTATTCGCTGGTAAGAAGGCGCATGCCTGAGCAAACAACATGCTGTTTAATCGATAAACGTGTCGTCGAAATTATATCGTTCTAACTTTAAGGATGTCCATCCCGTCATATACTTGTGTCATGGATTATTTTTCAAAGATGCAACTACTTTTACGTGTTGGATATTATGCAGAGGCACACGGACACACATACGTACGGAGAGATGCTTTTACAACCCCGTAGACGCAATAATTCGACGGCACAGGGGTTACAACGCCTCCGGTCGAACTGCCATGTAACGGGTGCGCGTTTCGTGTCGTACTATTCTCGTCCAGTCCGTTGTTTTCAATTATTTTCGGATTCGTTTCAATGCGAGCCAATCGGGAAGGAGAGTATACGTTGTTTTTAGCAGGCCTAAAAACGTTACGATCCTTTTTACGATCGCTACGAGCATTCGTACCAACTTTCTTCTGCTGTATTCTGGCTCTTTTCTCGCGTTGCTCTCGAAGATCTCCTACGCTTTGCATTCTTAACGTACTCGACACGAACGTTATTATTGAAGAAAGACACGAAAAATCGAAATTAAAAAATACGTGGTAATCGTTGTTCGACGAAGAATATCTTGACGATAATGCATGTAATGCAATTAAGATCATCCAGAAAAATTAAAAGATTCGTCGGTGTGGTTTTCTTTAAACGCAGATAAGAACATTATATTAAAATACGCTGTATGTTTTTCCTGTGTTTAATCTTTGGTTTCTGCTCGTTAATTCGTTAGGAGTTATCTTTAGCTGATTATTGGCTGGCTAAAAATAATAAACGCATAGCGCTGTTACTGTTAATAATTTGTGCGAAGTACAAAGTTTATTATGTGAAAAATTTTACAAAATATTATTAGCTATTATTGTTATTATTAATCTACGTTCTCTTTGTTTCACGTGATTGTCCAAGGGTGTAGAACGAAGAAAAATCTTTCGCAAAACTATCGACCGGTTTCATTGTGCATATACTCATGTTCCTGGAGTTATTGCATAATTTATGACGCGCTGAATCGACCGTGATAACATTAAGTGTGCAGCAAGGGCTGTTATCGTTTTATCAGTCTCATTAACGACCTAATTGTTGACTTTGGTTGTCGTTTATTTCTCTTGTAAATATTTTCGACACGCGTCACCAATTCTTGCCACGCATTGTCACGTATCGTAACATTCCTACATATATTACATGAAATACGATTGTATTTTCGAAAAAGTAACTCAGCTACGTGTACATGCACAATTAATATTACTAATACTTGGAAACAAATGTTACACAAATTTTTGCACTTGTTTCTGATAATCGTAAAAATTTATGGAAAAATTATTATATATAATAGAGAGAGCAAATTTTGAATTTGTGGAAATAAAGAAAAAAAAAAAGTATTAAATACGGAAACTTAATATTCCTCAAAGAGCTCGGACTCTGTACAGTATTCTCGTACTAAAACACACACTACGAAGAAAATTTGTATACTAGGCGGTGTATCGTACATATGCCGCATTTATTTATGTTGATGAGACGAACCTCTAAAGTTTTTTTTCGACAGACATTATTTCAACTCCATTTATTATATTTTCCGGTTAATACAAAATCGATACTGAATCATCCGTTGATCTATTAATAATAGATATCAAAGAACTCATGCACTTGTCATTGTGCATGAGAAAAGTATTTTTCAACTTCTTACAACTTCTCTACTTTATATCTATACATACATATACATTATTTTCACTTATCTATTAATAATCTGATAATGGACGGGAAGGATTGCAAAGCTTAAATCATACTTTCCGGACTTTCTTGCATATAACTCAACGTTTTCAAATGTTCGAGCTTATCTATCGATTTCGATTCTCTTGCATTATCACGTTACCTCATAGGATATCACTGATCGCTTGTAGAAAGCTGACGAAAATAATTGCTATCGTTGAAAATGTCTATGAAAGTCGGCACATGGTCGATCAATCAAACATCCAATAAAACGTGATCCACAAAGTTTAGTTCCGTTCGCGAATAACCAAAGAAGAAATTTGACGATATTGAAAGCCGATTCACACTGCGACCTGTCGAATCTCGGCAACGATACGCTAGAAATCTATATAGAGAAGGATCTAATATATTGAATCTATTTATAATATTATATTCCTGTTATAATAATATTTGTATGCTATACCAACTAAGAGGCTCCTGTATGAATATTATTATAATCCACATTGACATTCTATACATATACATATATTAATATTATTAATATATTGTATTTATATTATATATTATATGTGTATAATACTAATATTGTCAAATACATAAATATATATATACGGTGTTCTTCAACACGACACGATACGACAGCTGCACTTTTACCATTGCCGCCTAGTGGGGATCGGCTTTATACTTTCGCAAAGGAATTCGTTTGCAGAGAAATTCATTTTTTAATATTTCACACCAAAGAAATAATCACTATAAATATCTTTTTTAAATCGTGAATGGATAGTGCAAAATTGAAATTGGGCATTCCACAGCGTTGTATATTCAAGCATAAAAATTATATATTTCCAAGACAGTGTTTCTCTTGGAAGTACCTAAATACACGGACAAACGACAGATGATTTTATTTGCTCTAAGCAAAATTGTTGTGTAAAAGGATTCGTATTATCGAAGAGCAATTAAAAATATTTAAATATTTCGAAGCTTCTGTAGTTGCAAAGGTGTTGCTGCGAAATGGTGAGCGATTATGAGATCAAGAATTAACGAAGAAGGTTGTTGTAATAATAGGCATTTTCTTCGGTATGTAACGTTACCACACAGATATAGATTAGTAACGCACAAGATGTTGCGATAAATTGTATTCTAAGGATGTAACAAACAATTGTAACGTTTAAACGAGCAGTATCATATATGTACTCTGTTTGTTTAAAATAAATACCCATTAAGTGTACAAACAACAATTCCGACCTATACTGTGAAAAATTAATAGAAATACACCTTTAATTAAATTAATCGTTCGGATTAGTGATTTTTTCTATTTTCAAATTATTCGTACTGATAATTTATATGTAGAAAATATGCAGAATCAAATATACAGAATAAATCTTTTTTTTAAATTTCAAATTAGATGAAGTTGATCATCGTAGTATATATTCCTTAAATTACTTTCATAGCACTATGCTAGATGTCACTTTAATCGCTATGAAATTGATTTGTTTACTTCGTGTTCCTGGTTCTGACAAGTTATTTTATCGATATTATTAATATTATAGAATGAATACTCGAAGTTTTTTGCTATTGTGAATAAAATATTCTTTAAATAATTAAAAGAATTTGAATAAAACTTAATTATCAATGGGTAAGAGATATTATTGCGAGTACTGTGACAGATCCTTCAAGGATGATCCAGAAGCCAGAAAAAAACATCTTTCAAGTTTACAACATGTGAAAAATCGTGCAGATCATTATAATATGTTCAAAGGTGATTATTCAGTAATAATTATGCCAATAAAATATTTAAAATACTTACGTAGTTAGATACGTATCAATCATAACCTTAAAATCGTTACACATTTTCTACTGTGGTAAAAATATTGTCATCTATATTTTTGTTTGTAGATCCGGAAGTTATATTGAAGGAAGAAAGTTCAAAGATACCATGTAAATGGTATTTAAGCAGTGGTAATTGCGCATTTGGCCTTGGTTGCAGATATTCTCATTACACTCCGCCAATGATATGGGAACTTCAACGTCTTGGTAATGCTCACAATAAATAAAGCAAACGTGAAACAAACTCCTGCATCACATTCTTTATATAACTTTCATTTACAGTTGCAATGAAACACCAATCAAAATTTAATATAACACCTGCAAATAGTTGGCCAAATCCTGATGATATAATCAAAGAATATTTTGAGAATACTGCGAGTACAAGCAATACAGATGATTTTATTTATCCTACTTGGCACAGACCATTGGAATTACAGAATTATTCCATGTTGCCACCATCGTTATGGCCTATCACACCAGAGAGCCTAGAAAATACTACAACTTTTAAGGAATGGAATTAGAGATAATATAAGGGGATTAAATCGGATTGAAATTTGATCGCAGTTTTAACTCGATATGTGTAAATAATTTAAAATGTAACCATTGGCGAAAAATTTGACGTTTTGTTAATAAATTAACATAAATACGAAATACTGGAAATGTTCTACATTTATATATATTACATGTATATGCGTATTTCTTTAATTCGAAGATAGTGAAATAGCATTTTGATAAATGCAAAAGTCGAGCAAGTACATAATCATTTTTCGATATTTCTCGGTTAAACAGATACACCATCTTACGAGGCAACCACGAATCAGACTCGGTGTTGCTCGATGTTCGCCGGTAACCTTCGTAACTACCATCTGTCCTCCATCATCCCCTCCACCAATCGCCGAGCAGAAAGGCGAGCACACAATGAACCCTGGCACACCGTCACACAGTAGCGAAGCACCCGTTGCCACGATAGTTTGGCGTTTGAGCATCGTGTTCGGCGCGCCGTCGTGTTGTTTCAATTTCAAAAAAATTCAGTGTACGCTCGTAGCCGAGGATCGTGTTACGATTATGAGATTAGCTCGATCACGTGACTCGTGTGAATTTACGCTGATGTGCCAATCAGAAAGTGTTTGAAACTTCCCAGTGCATCGGCACGGCGGGACGCCGGCCCCCCTCGATCGGCCGACTGGATTTTCGATCGCCGATTCGGATCATCTCGATCACACCGGTGAGTCCTCACCGATATCTTTCTTTTTCACATGTTCAATCTTTAACTGAATCGCGCGATTGTTATCTTGTAAAAGATACGATAAAATTAAATTTAAACAGGACACGTGTTCTGATTGAGAGCGAAAACACTCGCAGCTATACAAGACCGTAGATAGACATAGAGAGGAAAGTGCTCTCAGATATACGGCAATAATTCTTCGACATCGATGACGTTTAAGAGAAGAAGATTTGTTTCGCAAATGCGTAAAATTGCAAACGAAGACTCGTAAATCGTAAATCGGTTTTAAACAATATATGACAAAGTGTCATTTAAAAACTGACATGTGAATTTTTCCATAATCGCTTTCCTTAGTTACCGGATTTAAGTACAATATTTGCCTTCGATTGGTTAGCACAATCGGAACGATACTATTGCTTCTAACAAAATAATATCATTTTATTCGTTTTTTCTTCTTTTCTTTTTGTAGCGTGGATCTCTATAAGCTTTAAGTCGTATCGTTCCGCTTCGCATAAAAGGGGGATTTTGAATTAATGCTCCAACATGAATCACGTGAATTTACGCATACGATATATTTATGTTCTACATTGTGCACTGATATAAAAAAAAATTACTTAACCAACAAATTATTTTTCTAATTAGTTATAATTTTAGATTAATTGTAATTGTAAATTACTTTGTGTTATGAAATATGTTGTTATTAAAATGTCACTATTATAGTAATTGGTTAAGAAATAATATTTATTTCACAATCACCACTGCACCGTGTGTAAGTATATATTTTCTCGTTTAAATGATTCGTAGCTCCAATACCGGCGCGTTATTGTAGCAAACGAAATCGGTTCATATTTACGTATGATGATATCCTTTGATAATGTATGTATTAATACAGTGCTGATTGTGAATATCAAATTCATTTTACCCGAACGTCATTCCCGTTAATGCAGTCGTAAAATGACTCTAAAAATTTCTACACCGTGTTATTACATACTTTTCAAACATTACATGCGAATTTCACTTCTCGTAAACACGAACCGACGAATACATATGTTCCAATGAATTTACGAAATCTTAATTCACAAATAAAAAACAAATTGCAACGCGTAGTCATAACAATCTGTATAATATTTAATAATGTTAAACATCGTTGAACGTTTGCAAAACAACGATACTTACGACGACAAACGAACGCAAAATCTGCACGGAATTCAACAGTCTAGCGGAGAAAGTGATTGGAAGATAGAGGCAAGGATTCACTGATATTACATCACTGATATCGTTTCCGCCATAACGACGACGGAGACTGGTTGTTGTAAAAAGGTTAAATGTAGTGTGACGACCGGATGGCAACGACCTGCACGCCATAGACGAGAGACCGGTGCTACGTGTAGTCGCGTCACGATTCTTGCCGGAGGTCGTGACCTTGTCGATATGGGGAATAATAGTGCGTTCGCCTGCACCGGAGCAAGATCGTCCTCATGAGTCAGTTTCTACCGATCGATTTCACGCGTGCATCAACGTTCATTGTCGCGTTCTGCGCGCACCACAATGGACTTGTCTATTTTCGAGCAGCTGTCGCGACCCTCTTTCGAACAATACGGCCCCAGAGTGTGTAAGCAACGTGCATGCGCGGAACCGGTTGCTTTTCGATCATACTTTTAGTAGAATCGTGACCTACCACTGGATATATCCTTCCCTACGTTTTGCCATTGCAATCGATATTATAGCTTTAGCCTCCTTTTCAACAGTACTTTTCAGAATCTTATATGTGGCGTTTTGTTAGTGCATTACGGGGATTATTGAATTTAATGAGAAGTAATTGCTAGGAGTTTGTCAAATCTTTGAATCAGTACATTCGTAATGTACGTCTTCGCATGAAAGGTACGTTCGCAGCAAGAAAAAGGCAGTTTCACTTTTTTATTTATTTTTTATTATATATCTTATTTCATTTAAAATACGATCTTTCAGTTGGTGTAAAATGGACTGAACTTCAAATAAAAGTTTACTAAAACGAAATTGCTTCTTGATTGATTTACTAAAATTACCAGAAAATAAAGGTGCCTCTTTATTTCAATAGCTCTTTTATAGCATGTGGAAGATTTTATAGGATTTTAATTTAAAAAGGATGTATTTTTAGATTATTATTATTAGACTGTGGATGCATATAATACGCAAAAGTGTATAAAAATCGAATCTAGTTATTATAAATCTAAAGTTTAATATCGTACCAAAAGAAAGCGATTCCATTATGTTAAATGAAAATTACAATAAGATTGTTGTTGAATGTTGAAAGTATGCTTAAATGTGATGAAAGTTCTAAATCGAAAGGAACAGAACATAGTGTATCAAATAATTTAATACAAGAAAATCTTCCCTAAAGCCAATTTCTTCTATGATATTAATTATCAAGTCGCTCTAGTTAATATCTAAGAATTGCGCAACTCTTGAACAACGATCCCATGGAAATCAACCGGATCAAACAAGACTAATTGTACCTATTAGGCACAAAAAACAATCTTAAATCAAAACTGATTTCTCGCATGACGTCTACGCTAAAACTAATTCCCCTTCGACACGCATTGGTATATCTAATCAACGACTAATCTTCACAAGGACAATACGTAATACACACATAAAACCGAGCTCCACAATCTGTCGATAACGCGCGATATAACGATCCATTTTCATTCTGCGACGAGGAGTTTCGAAGTTCGCAGATTTAATTCGTCGCGAAGCATTGCCTCTGCGAGCAAACACAAGCTGCTAAACACCAGCTACTCGGCAATTTAACGTCATTTATTTCTATTGCCTTTATACGGGCTTATTACGTCACGCGATTTCTCTCCGCCCTTTATCGCGTGGCTAAAGTATGTATGTACTCGGTCGCGTGTACCATGATCGTCCTCCTCCTCCACAAGAAAGTCAATCGCTAGATAATTTTCCAAATTGCCAAACGATCGAAATCGATGAACACCTTCGTCGTCGATTGTTTTGCGCTCGTATTCAATTAAACGACGCTTTATTGTTACACGATCTTAACATTAACACTAGAACTGTCGAGGATTAATCTTTAGGAAAGCGGCAAATCCACTTTTTAGAAGTTGTTGGGTAAACACTACTAATTAATAATCATTTGATAGTTTAAGGCACAGAATTTTAAAATACAAACATTTCTTTTTTTGTTTATAAGATTGTGATTATTTCAAATGCAAAATTTCCTTCTATCTATAGTGGGATGTTTTTCACACATATCTGCTCATTCATGTTTCAATGTAAGTATGAAGAAAAATTCAAATAAATATTAGAAATAATAATTCTAAAAACAATTCTAAATCTAGAGAATTACTACGAAAAATTACAAATTGGATATTTTGACCAATCTGATAATTCTAGTGTTAATTATGCTATGATTGGTATGAGGGAGTGTTATGTAAAAATATACAAATCTACGTTTGATAAGCAAAAATGTAAATCTACGTGATTCGATTTTCTAACGCTCGAGCGCATTGGCTATTTATATCATTGTTTGTGCCACCTGATGTTTATCACAACTGATAAACTGACCGATTTTTCCTTGGTAGCTCTGGTTGTGTAATTTCCATCAGAAATCGTAGATTAAATGTACCAAATTCGTAGATTAAATGTATTCGTAATTTAATGTATAGTATAAAATAAGGTAAAGTAAAGTACGAGATTAGAGTATCTTAAATTGTATAAAGTGGATAGAAGATCCACTCTGGCAGAATTTAAATTGCTCCTGTTCTGTAGTTATCACGATTATGCAATGCAATAGAGTATAAATTGCGTATCATAGCTATACACACATACACTTGCTTTGCATTACAGTTCTGATTATGTTTTTTTACTCGCTTGAGCTTCAGATGTTTTTACAGAATTTGGTGAAGAAGTAAGATATTTCTATCTCTTCGAATGTTATAAAACGGATGAAATACGAGTATTTTAAGTTCCAAATAAACAAAAATAACTGATGCAGATTTCTTGCCTAAATTTTGCAACGTGGATAACGAGAGAGATAGACGGCTTTGGTATTTTGAAATAAACGATAAATGATTAATGTGAAACGTAAGTTCTCGTTCGTAAAGAGCTATATTTTAAATTTACTTTAAAAAAATGGATTTCAGACGAAAATAATTTTTAATAAATGATACAAAGCTTGCGATAGCGAATAAATATTCAGTAATAGGTGTTTTTAAGTTTCGTCACACAGTTTTCATTGAAACGCAATTTAGCAAGCAGAGTATATTGTCAATCGTCATTTGTGCTTGTGCATTCCAAGCACGCACGAACGCATGTGCTTACATGACAAACAGATATATACTTTTAAAATCAACTAGCAATAAAAAAAAAACACCTCAGAAAAATGCCATGTTCTGTAGAATTCTCCATATCGGACTGTTGCAAGGATTG